TTTTGGAATATTATATGAATTATATGCAAATAGATTTGTTCCTTGTTGTAGATATTGTGTAAATAGAAAGCAGCTATATTTATTTTTGATAACTATATCATCAAGTGTAGTAAACCATAAAGGTTTTTTGCCTTTTGGTAGAAATCATAGTCTTGATGAAAGATGCTGCCATTCCAAAAGACTGACATTATCAGAGATGCAAAGTTGTTCCAAAAAAAGTATTTGTAGATTTCTGAGTTGTTTCTTGAAGGTTGTATAGTTGGGATGATTATGAAGAATTTTTTCTAAAAGTTGTAAGTTGTGTGAAATTGTGTTAGGCCATAAGGCATCAGCATTAGCTGTAATAGAAACTCTGAGATATGAAAGTAGTTGAATAGTTTTAAAATTTAGTGTAAATCTGTTAGCACCATCAACTATTGGTTGAGGGTGCTATAGTATATTAGTAGTTAACCAAATATTATTTTGTAATTGTTGGAGTTTGATTCATGTAGTAATTTCTAAGAGATTAGGATTGTTGATACGTTGGTGAAAGTTGGTAATGTGGTGTTGAAGTTAGTGTTGGGATCCGTTTAACTAAATATTCAGATATCTGCAGATGATCCAAATATCCGGATACAAATATAAGACTGCAGATGTTATATCTGGATGTCAGAAATAATTAGATGATCATCCAGATAGGTATCCAGATAATTATATAATGAAATGCCTTTTATGTATATACAACCTACATTATTTGTTTAAATTATTCAGAAAAAATTTTTAATAATAGCAATAAGATATAAGAAATAGAGATTATTCTTTTTATACTATATTAATTATTATGTATAAGATATCGAGTACTCTAACAAGTAGTCAACATTAGTAATATAACCTATTAAAAACTTTTAGCATATTTTTTGTAATATCATAGCTTGAAAATATTGTATATATTATAGCTTCTATGATTCTAATTTACGTAGATCTAAAACCACTAACCAAAAATGTAAAGTAATTAAAACTCATAGTTATGTGTGTAAAGAAAAATTATTACTACTAAAAAAGATATAGAGCTGTAAAAAGGCTGTGAAAAGCATGAAAATCAAAAGAAAATTTAGAGAATACTTCTAATTCACAAGAAACGGATGAAATTAAGTTAGATTAAAACAAATTTTTAATTAGTAATCAAGAAAAAAACAAAGAATTTAATGAAAATACTTTTATCATCAAGGCAAAAAGCTCCAAAACAATAAACTTTTATACGCTTTAAATACAAAATAGATTAGATAAAAAATAGTAGAAATTTTTATAAAAATATAAAAAAGTATAAAAATCTGATAAAAATTTATATCTTACTATGGGTTTCTCTATAATAAAGTAATTATTTGTACCCTTATTTTTCTTATAACTCACGAGTTTAAATTTTAAGTTAAATTTTTATATTTATTTTTTGAATTTCTTTTAGCATTGAGCTTAATTACTATCTATAATATTTTATAATATTAGTAATTATTATATTATTAATATTCAAATTATCTAATTAAATATAAATTCTCATTTACTACTAAGCCTATATTGATACTATTCGACAAAACGGTATGATTCTTAATAAAAAACAAAAAAATTAAGAACCCCAAAAAATTTGAAAAAATCATAAAAACTAAATGATAATTATGCTTTCCAATCTTCTGAACCTATTGAGTCTTTCAATGAAAATACTGAAACTACATCTGAAAATGAAGAGTATATATCAGATATAAATGATAATTCATTACAAGATTTCAACTCTATTCCAGATGTCTATAGACCTTTATCAAAAGCAAGTACCAGTAAGCTAGCTAATGAAGTTTAGAATTATTTTCACCCTTTAGAGCATATAGAAACAGGAAATTGTGTTGGGTGGTGTCCTTTGGAGATTGTTCGAAATTGTCAAAAGCAAACATGTGATATAATCTGCAATACAGGTGGATCAACAGGAAATATATGGGACCATCTTTCTAGCATATATGGAATTACTAAAGAAAATAGTTTAAAATTAAAAGATGTTAAAAATAGATACTATATTTAAAACTACAACTAGTAATTTAAAGCGAACAAAATTTTTTTTGAGAGATTTGGTAGATAATTCATTATCTAAGTTATATGGTTCAACAATATCTGTTAAATTTGTTAGTGG